TATGGTGCATTTGTGACGGCGCAGTTAGTTTTAGTTAAGATTCATTTTGATTTTTGATCGAAATATGAAGAAAAATTACGGCACAATTGCATTTTATTGAGTATATGGTGCATTTGAGACGGCACAGTTAGTTTTAGTGAAGATTCATTTCGATTTTCGAACGAAATATGAAGAAAAATGCTGGCACAATTGTATTTCATTGAATATATGGTGCATTTGAGACGGCACAGTTAGTTTTACTGAAGATTCATTTCGATTTTCGATCAAAAGATGAAGAAAAATGTAGGCACAATTGCATTTTATTGAGTATATGGTGCATTTTTGACGGCACAGTTAGTTTTATGTTTTTTAATGGATAGTATGTCAGAATATTCCATGGTGAAAAATTTTTATATATGAAAAAAGTTTAGTGTTATAATATTTTTCAAGAACTTTATCAATTTTTATTACGCACATTTCGGGCACATTTATTGTATCTATAACAGCAGACATCAATTCCTTTCTTTTGATGTTTTACTAAATTTGACTATACTGAAAAAAATTCGAAAAATCAACCCTCAAAATTGGGTAAACCGTCATGGCACAATTACGGCACATATGTTATTTCGACAGCACATTTCGCGCACAGTTTTTTTAGCCCTGTTACGACGTTATATCTTCAAGTTGAAAATTTTTGACTATGCATACTGAATAATGTTCTAATTTTACTCATTCAAGTTCGGCGTGTCCCCCTAGTTGTTAAAAAAATCGACTTGACAATTTCCGGAACGAGATTGTATTATGAGAAGACTTATGTGCTTGAAACCGCTCACATTCAACAAGTATAACCACACGGGATTGCTATTTGTCACTTTTTAGTCAAAAGTGTTATATGTTTAAGAGAAAGAAGACAGAAGCTGCAGGAAACTGCTTATGTTTGTTTGGAATTATTGACTTGTTGAGAGCTGCGTTGAAACGTGTTTTCTGTGCGAGTATTAAATTGGAACTGTGTTAATAATATTCATGACTAAAAACTGATCATGCCAATTCTCTTAAATGATTTCTACCCAACTAATTACACATTGCTCCTTTGTGCGAAGGATATAAGACGTGTTTTGCTTATTCGTTCAGAGTTTGACAACAAATTGTTTTATGGCTTTCTCTTCATGGGTCTGAAGAAAATAATTGACCCGAGTAGATCATAAATTATAATGTTTTATTAGGACAATACATTCGCATGTTTGGAGTCATTGTGAATATTGTCAAAAAGAAACATTGCTTAAATATGTAGTAGAGAAGCGTAATACGAAGTGTACCGATTTGCCGATACTGAATGACAAGTTGGCACAGTGACGTTCGGCAACATGAATGCTCACTTTCAGTTTAATTTATGGTTATATTAAACATCAAATTAATGACTCAGCACAGGGGAACATGAAAATCATTAGCTTTGCATCGCCATGAAAATGTCACAATTTCTATTCTCTTCAATCGACAGCTCACGTCAACTATGATAATGCACTGATGGTATTTTCCTATATTTTCCCACATTTTTAGATATCTCCAAACAACAAATTCAATTCTTTCTTAATTTAATTGCCAAAAGCCGTTGGTATCCTCATTCGGAATTTCTTGACAGCATTGTACATTTTGTTATGAATTAACATCGAAAGAATAACACGACCGAGAAGAACATTCAGTACTGAATTGATGCAAAATTGGTAAAATGTGGTAAACTAGCACTATACTCTGTTCATCTATACTTTTGAGAGAGTTTAAAAACGCATTTAGGTGTATTTTTAAGAAAAATTCCCTAAGAATGCTACGCTAAGCGAAAAATTACGTACTTACTTTCGATTGCAGTTGTGTGCTGGACAAGCGATGATGTGAGAATGAAATTTCGCAACAAACTGACAGGTTGCTTGACATTCGAGATTTGACGTCGAACCGCTTGAAGTTGGTTTCTGATCGTGAATCGCATTTGAATGCCAACATTTGAATATTTATAATCAGCACCATTTGACTTCAATGCTTCACTGTTGGGAAAATATTTGGTGAAAAAGATTTTCATAAAAATTTTTTTGTGTTGATTCAAAGTGTTCATTGGAAGAAAAGAATGATCAA